AAGAATCGTAAGGAAAAAATAATTCAAATATTATATGTGGAAAGTTTCTTGAGGTCATAAACGGCTTATTGAGCTTTTACTATTGTTAGGCACAGTGTCACATGCTTTGTATTCATTATTTCATTTAAGTCTTTAGACACTCTTGTGGTGTTATTGTTACCATCATTCTACAGATGAGGTGAGGGGTTCAGAGAATTACGTGTTTCCTCAAGGGCCTTTTGAGCACCTATTGTTTGCCTAACAGACGGGTTGCCCATCCTCATGGAGCTTACACTGTGGAGGCGAAGATAGATCTTAATTGAATAATCACACAGATGTATAAATATATATTTCTCTATAATAGATTATAGATAAACAAACATAGTAAAGTGTAAATATAATATTCACAACTGTGATAAGTGCTATGACAGAAAGGTCCCTTCTGACACAGGAGACGGATGGGGAACTTGCCTTGCTTAGGAGATGAGGGCAACTGCCCTAGTGAATTGGAAGGAATATTTGAGTTGAACTCTGAAAGATGGGCAAAAGTTAAAAACACACAGTGGGGGTTTCATGGTGGGCAGTTAGTGGAGCCCTGCCCCATGACTGCCTAACTGGGAAGGGGACTATAATTCAAGATTTCCAATCAGTGATGGAGCGCTCACACAGTCAGACCTGGGTCTGAGTCCTGTCACTCTACTAGCTCAACGACCTTAGGCCAGGCACTTAATTATCTCTACCTCAGTTTCCTTGTTTGTGAAACCAAGGTAAGAATGGTACCAACTTTGTGGTATTTTCTGAGGATTAAGAGACTTAATGTTTGCTAAGTTTTTAGCAGCAGATCCGGTAAATGGCAAAAATGCAGTAAATCTCACTATTAGGAATGGTAACAGGTAGTGACTTACTGTTAGAAGTAAATAAACAGGCCCCGCCTTTGGTAGAAGAGAAGACCGGAATAAAAAGGGAGAGATGGTGCTTCTCACACCTGCGTAAGGGCTTCCTTCTGTTCCTAGGGTCTCTCCTCTAAGCCCCACTGCCCTCACACCCTGGCTGCAATGTCCTTGAGTCCAGGGACTCGGCCATCCTTCCTGCCGCTTAACACAGTACTTGGCTCCAAAGTGATGGTTTTTGCATAGTGATGATATTTGAAGCTGTAGGAGGGGATGGAGTTGTCAAATTAAAGTCCGAAGAGCGTGGCCATGGGAAACACCTGTATTTATTTACAGTGCAAAGAGAGTGAGAAGTTGCAGCCAGAAAAATGAGGATACTTGGTCTCTATGAAAGAGTCAGTGCTGCAAGCTGCATTGAGGTCTGGGAGGACAAGGAGACTGGAAAAAGGGACCAGAGGTGAGAACATGCCTCTTGGAGAAAGCAGTTTAGGAATGTGTGGGACAGAATTCAGATGGCAAAATTAAAACGTAGGTGGTCATGAGGCAGTGGAAGCAGCTGAGTAGCAGTGAGTGATGGGTACATGGATATTTCTTTTAGAAATCCATGGTAAAGGTAAGCAGAAGGAATAATTTTAGTAAGTTGCAAGCTTAAGGAAATGTATTAATATTGTTATTGTTCGTGGAGAGTTGGGAATGCTGGTCATGTAACAATGGAGGAAAGGAGGGTGACTGGTTAGCTCAGTTGGTTAGAGCACGGTGCTGATAACACCAAGGTTGCCGGTTTGATCCCTGCATGGGCTTTTGTGAGCTGTGCCCTCCTTAAAAGAGTCAACTATGCCATTGTAGCATGAAAGCAATGTGTAACCAATGACCATGGCTGTTCCCCCAATAAAATTAAAAAGAAAAAAAAATGAATAGAGGAAAGGATTACAGGGCATTTTTGGTGAGTCAGGTTCCTGGAGACACAGATGGGTTGATAGCCTGAATTAGTCTGACCTGCGTAAGGAATCCTGCTTATATAGGTGGGAACAATCTGACTAAATGGTTCACATATTTCTTGGTGTCCCCTTTCTGCCACTTTATCACCTTCTCTAGATTTTTCTATAGTTCATAGTGCCCAGCAGTGAGTGGGTAGCTGAATGAAGGAAGAAATGAATGTGCTCATAAAAATGAAACTTACCCATGTCTGCTCTTCTCAACTGTCTCCTTGTAAAGCATGTACATTTTTGAGGCTTAACTGGCTTTGATAGTTTTATGATCATTTATTTTTTTAAGTGTGGGTGAGTTGGCAAGTGATCACATTGGTTCTATTTTGTTGTGAATAAATAGTATGTCAAAGTTTTATGCCGTTTCAAAAATGTTATTTAGAATAAAACTTCCTTTGAAGCCACAATAGTTTCTTACTCAAAATATTTATTTAGACCATCTTGTTTAAATATATATAATTCCCTGAAGGAACGATTGTAGTCTATATAAATCTGGATTTAAAACAAATAGACCTTCTGGAATTCATAGAAATACAAAATGGATATTCCAGTACTTAAGTGTTTATATACAAAAGGAGTTGAGGTGTTCCAATGTTTGTACGTTTAGGTACAAAAAGAGTAGAATTTATAAAAAAAAAAATGATGATCTGAAAAGTTTAATTCCCAAATGTGCCATATGTATAAAGTTATTTAGGAAGAGAAAACATTTGAATCATAAACTAGTTCAGAGTAAGTGAATCAATGATTCAGTGAATAAATAAATATACATAAAAATAAAGCAAATCCACAGTCTCTTAATTTGTTCTGGTCCTGAATATAGCTATAATTAAAGTTGACGAAGTGTACTTTTAAACATCATGCAAAATCAGGCTATTTCTATAAAATAAATACCAAATTAATATTTAAAATATGTGTCCTTTGTGCCAGAGTTCACATACAGTCCTTGAGAGATCTTCTCTCTTGATTGGTCATCCTTTAATTTTGGTAAAGCAGGGGTTTTTTTTGTTTTTATGTTTTTTAAGAATTGATGAAAGCTTTTATTATCACACTTCAGATTATGTAAATATTTTAATGTCAATTTGGTTGCCGTATCTGAATTTGTAATTGGATAGTTTGTAAAGTACCTTGTTTTTGGTAGAAACACTGTCCTCTATACTGTTTTGTTCTGTTTTTCGGTTTGATTTTACCATAGTACAATCAAGTTGTAAGTTCATTAACTACTGTCATTTAAAAAACCTATTTTTAACCTGGGATGTTCTGATATACTGAGCAGTCAGTAAACTATTAAAGTTGAAATAAGAAAATTTGGGGGAAACATTTCCCCTTATAGCCTCCAAATACATACTGGGGGTGCCCCCAAAAAATGTATACACATGACTTGTATTCATCTTTTGTTATCGGTATAGATTATTACATTTTAAATACAGTTCTTTCCTTTCTTAAAATGTGTATACATTTTTGGGGCACCCTCTGTGTATTATTCTTGCTTAATCGATACTTCCCTTAGCGTCTCCATTTCTTTTTACTAATCCCTTTAATCACTACTACATACATCAAAGTTTTACAACCTAACTGATACATAACTGGACTGTTAACATTGGAAGAGAGACCCTGAACTATCAGGCAGATTATACAATTATTTTCCTAGTGGTAATAGAGGAACAAATTGGGGATGCAGGTGAAGTAAGAAAGGAGTAGACAGTGAGGACTTGAACATCAAAAACCGAATAGGGACCTATAGATTTAATGTTCATTAATGAAAGAGAAATGTTTTCAACTTGCCTAATCCAAAGCATAGGGAACAGTAAAAGCCTCCTCAGTCTTATTCTCTGTAAATGGAATTTACAACCATATTAATGATATCTCAAATACTGTCACAAATGAGACGGTTTATATAAAACTCCAAGTGATTCCAGGAATGTGAGCACCTGGACGTGTGTAAGTGAGCACAGCTTTGAGACAGACATAGACGTGCCATTTCAGGTAGCCCCATGTCTCTGTCCCTCCCCCGCTACACACGCACCTCCTCACCCAAATCAGTAATCATTGATTGCATATAAAGCTGTAGAGAGATCTTTTCCTGGCACTTCAGGTAGTTACAGTAGATTGTTAATCTGTGAATGATCGGACTAAACCCCTTCTGTCTTCAGAATTTCCATGCAAATTAGAACTAAATTTATGAGATAAATTTATTAACTGTAGTCTAGGAGCATAGGTCAGCTTTAGCACAATTCTTAAGCATAGGTTTTTATCCATAAAAAAGTTACACTTCATTTATGCTAATTTTCTATGAATTCACTTTATAATATAAACTGGCGAGATGATTTTTAAAAGTACTTGTAAAGAAATGAAAGATTTTTGAGTGCGTTTTTCAGTTTTCTAAGATACAGTTGGATTGTTCCAGATAGAAAAGGTTCACATAAATGGCTTTTTCTATCCTACATCTGAGCTTACAACAAATTTAAACTTATTTTTTTACATCACCATTAAAATAAAAAGAGGGTTGTTTTGTATTTTTCAAAATAGGACTGAAAGGGGAATTAATATACAAAACAAGAAAAAAACCAAGGAACTGGGAAGTGATAAATAATACCAGAAGTATGTGAGGTCTTACTGGGTCAACAGGAGTGTCTTTCAAAATGTCTGTGAAATATAAATTATTCATCTATGGTGAGGGAAATTCAGTAGAAGAAAAGTACTATTTTAATAGTATTTGTATGTTGTGTTTTACTTTCATCAACATTGCACTAGAACATGATCATATTAGAATGTATATTTTTGCATTCTTGCCAAACGGATAAACTGAAACGGGAGTATATAGCAGCAACAGTATTGTTTTTCCTCCTTTGGATCCCTGGTGTTACAAATCCAGCACCTTGTAGAAGAAGTAATCCTTGATTCTTATTCTCCTCTGTCTGCGTTTCTAATTTAAAGGTTACGGATGAACATGAAACATTCTGTTAGTGAATGAGCCCTGTTTTCTTGCTTTTTTTTTTTTTTGTAAGAGACTTTGATGGTATCAAAAAATGCCAGGCCCCTCCCAACATAAAGACTTTAAAAATGGAGGTCGGCGCTATTAAAATGTTGAAGAAATATAGTACCTTTGAACAGATGCTGATCCTTGTTTCCCTCCTTTATTTTCCAGGCCATCCGTTGCACACTGGTAAACTGCACGTGTGAATGTTTTCAGCCGGGGAAGATTAACCTGAGGACTTGCGATCAATGTAAACATGGCTGGGTGGCACATGGTGAGGAAAATCTGGACTTTTATTCCCAGTCTTGTTATGTTCATGTGAATGTACATATTTTTTTAGAACAATCACTGGCCTGGAGAAGAGAGGGGTCAGCTGTGCTCCAAGTGGTAGCTAACAATCAGCCTGCAGCCCTCAAAATAGCATATTCTCTGCCCTAAGACGTAAGGCTGAGGTGAGCAGCTCTCCACGGAAGGGCAGGATGTTTATAGGACAGTTGGGCCGTGAGGGTTTTGACTGAACAGAATAGATACCAGCCAGCCAGCACCAGGCCTGATGGAAACTCAGACACACCACAGTTGGTCCTTCAGGGCCTGGACCTCAGAGGGAAGCTAGCAAATCCATTTTCTTGAGAACTTCTCCGTGACTGCTCACCCTTGTCACATGCGTTAGGGGTTGAGTCTATCCTCCCAGATGCTAAATTTTGTATGGTCTAACATGATTTGGCTGGTCTCTGAGAAAATAATCTGTAAATAACCCCTTTTAGTGTGCATTGGGGTTGGAGGTAGCCGGTGCTGGTGGAGTGGGAGCCCTGTGTAGGTGTGTGTTGGGGGTGGGGGTGACCCAGGGCCAAGGCTGGAAGTGGGGAGGCTTTTAACCCGATGCACAGAGCTGTTCCATTAGTGTGTCCTGACTGAGCATTTCACTTGTTCTTATATGTGGTGTATGTTTTTTAATGTTTAGGCAAAAGGAGACTTGTAAATAAGCAGAGATTTTCCTCACTCCCTAGACTGTAGAATTTTAAAAGATAGGTAATGTTTCCGAAAGAAATAGGTAATGTTTATGAAAGAAATCCTGGCTTGAGATTTCCTTGACAGCCTGGGGTCTTGGCTCTTAAATGGGCATATTCTAAATTCCCAAGCAGTGCCAAATATCCAGTGGGTTGTATTTTTATAAATGTCATGTTATTCTAGCTAGATCTGAGGTAACAACACCGGGCCATGCCTTGAAATGCTTTTCATTTATCATGAACCTGGCTTGTTAGGGCATATATGTTGGTGTTGTGGGAACATTTCAACCAATGTTGTGGGGACAGAGAGAGAGAGAGAGG